TTCATATATTATACTTATAATTTATTAATAAAAATACTAATTGGGCAATAATGAAGGAAACAGAAGTTCATATTGCTTTTGTAATAATCCACAATTTTTTTTAAATTAAACACTATCATCTACACGCTGCATCGAAGCGTTTCTTATGATAGTGATTAAAATCACTATTATCACTATTACAAGAAAATAATTAAATGAAAATATTAGATAATAGTAGAAAAATATTATAAAGTTTTTTTTGTCCATACTGAACTTTTAAATAAACAAATTAGTTTACACTGTGATGATTCTCAATATAAAACACACAGCGCAGTGAACACGCGGCATAGTTGATATAATTATATCAACACTTCTCAGATTTTATCTATACATAAGTATATGTAATATCTGACAATGATTAACTATCACAAAAACGATTTGAAGCAAATCTGTTAATTTTTTTATTGAAAAAGTGCATTTTAAATTCAATCAGTACGTAGGAAAAAATTGTTCGGATGATTTACATTTTTTCTTCGTAAAGTACTATTAAAAAGCTTTAATTTAATATTGGTTTAATTTTATCAGACGTCTCAAAACATTTTTTAAAATTGAAATATAGTATCTTTTTGTAAAAATTCTTAATGTATNCTCAAAACATTTTTTAAAATTGAAATATAGTATCTTTTTGTAAAAATTCTTAATGTATTCAGAATTAGAATGAACCATCAAAGTCTCCAATCAGATCGTCTCTAAAATAATTAGGTGAGATAAAAAATTAAAATATATTACTCCTTGAGGTCAAAATCTCAAATATATTCTTAATTATCTTGTGACAGTATAATATTATGTTATAAATTTTTCTTATCTGCGACTTTTTTGTAATTTTTATGGCTGTTTAGTGTAACACTTTCTATATATTTTTTAGTTTTAAATTAATATTTTTAATATAATTTTAATTTTAAGTAAAATTTATAATGCTATAAATTAGAAAAAATAAGTTTTTTGATGTTTTACTGTATATCTATTAATTTGTTGTAAACTCTTTCCTTTAGTGTTTACTTGAATTTCAAATTTGTCTTATTATGAAGTATATTTCTTTGAATAAATCTATCACTTCCAATTTGAAAACCATATTATGCTTTGCAAATACATCAATTAAGTGTACACTTTTGTAAAAAATTTATTATTTTGAACGATTTTATGGTTTTATGAGTAAAATAATTTCTTAGTTAATTTAATTGTGTACATATTTATTTTTCTTAATTATTTCTTAAGAGAAAATTTTGTAAGACTTTAGTATGTTTATTGTTAAGTAGACATATTAAATATTCTTGAAATAATATTATAATTAATGCAAAAACATAGGGAGGAAAAAATTAAATAACCTTACTTTTTGTTAATAACAGCGAAAATATTTTAGTTTGTAAATATGAATAACAAATTAAACTCTCACCCAAACCCTAATATTCAATACTCCTATTCAAAACACATCCCCGACAATCCGCCAAGAAGATTAAAAAGAAAATGGTGTAGAGACCTCTTGAAAAAAAAAAAAAATCAAATCAAAAAACAAAATTCAAAGTAGGTAGTTCCATTGGGTGCCCCCCTACTGCATGCTATTCAAGTCATATTGTAATTTTTTTTTTTTCACTACTGTTAACCCATTTACGGTTGTGCATATATTTTGTATAGATGTAAATTTTATAAAGTTATTTGAATAAAATAAATTTTCAAAAAAAAAAAAAAAATATGAATATTGTATAATTTAAAAAATATTATAACACTATGTTTGGAAAAAGAGTTGTCGACAAAAAAATGCATTTTTATGAGTAAATGTAGTAAAAATTGTGGATAAATTTTACACATAGTATCTTTAAAAAAAAAAAAAACAATTAAATAATTGTCATGGATAAAAGTTTTAAAAATTATAGTTCAACCTTATACACTTTATTATCAACAATGAGTTTTTATATTTATTTCAAATTTTTGAAACTTTTATATCTTGTTTAAATATAAGGTACATTTAAAAAGTTTTAATTTTATATAGGTTTTTATATCAGATGTTCTATACACTTGATATTGTTTTGTATAGTACTGGACACTAAACACTTGTCGGACCAGAATTAACTTATTTATAACGACATCTAGTAAACATAAATTGAAAATATTTTCTAAATAAAATTATGTACTAGATGTCACTGCATTTATTTTTGAACTGTTTAATTTGATAATTGAACATTTTACGGCGATAGGAAATAAATGACCGCCAAAAATATTCTTTTTTTTTCTCCACTTAATAATATATTATACATCTAACATTAAGTTTATAATATGATCTAACATATTTTTTAAGCGAAACTATATATTATAGTATTCATCTATTTCCTCACCTTAACCCCAACTACTTGGGGTTGACCATATATTATAGTATTATTGTAAAAAATATTTTTGACTTAAAAAAAAAATTAAACAAGTTTTATATACTTATTGAGGTGTTCTGCATGAAAATAATCCTCATTAGGATAAAAATTGTAGCCTCAACTTTTGCTGTTCTGCATTTTATTACACACACACACACATGTATTGTAATTTATGTAATTTTTTAATATATCTTATACTATATTTGTTAAAAAATCTAATAAATAAATATTTATAAATTATATTTAAAATGTTGTATATGACAACACTTCCAAAAAAATTAATAAAATTAAGGCCCTTTAAATAATATGAAAACATAAATAAAATAATTGATTTAATAATAAATATAGTCTTTTATATACTAGGAACAAGATTTTTTTGTACAATAATTAAATACACTTTTTGAACTACTACATTGCAGGTACTACTGAATGCGTCAATTAGCCTAAATTTTTATTTGATGCGTTAAATCTTTGCATTACTTGTAGATTATGATAGTTTTGATAGCAATATTCTATTGATTTAATATAATCTTGCAATCACTTAACTGTAAAACAAATTTTCTAAAAAAAAAATAGTATTTTGGTAATTAAAATAACAAAAAAGCATATTTTTTATATTAATTATGAAGTCATAAAATGTAAATTATTAAACTTTACAAAACATAATTTTTTTACCATTTTATGGCATATTTATTTATTAAAATTTTATAGAAATAAAATTACACAGTGTTTAAATTTTCTATATTGCTAGCTACATTAAGCACTGAATAAAATAAATGAAAAATGAAAAAGATTGAGTGCTTTAAAAATTAATAAGTATAAATTCTTATAACTTTTTGAGTGTATATTATGAGTTTTTTTCACATATATTTTCAATGGTTAAATAAAAAAACTATAATCAAAACATTTATTTAGAGCTTAAATATATGTAGCGTCTCAGTCCCATAATCTAAGACTTAGCATCCCATTTTCTTTTTGAAAATAACATGTATTGGTTAATAAAAATGTTTTTAGTGTAGATAAAAAATTAATTAACTCCCTCTAACTTTGTTAATGATTATAATTTTTATTCGAAAAAGGTAGGATTATATTAAGAGCGAAAAATAATTTTTCTTATGTGGGTTAATTATTTTTAATAAAGTAATATTTTGTTGCTTGTTGTCTCATATAAGTTCGTTGGTGTAACTTAGATCATAATTTATTTGCAGTTTATTCTAGTTATTATTTTAATTTACTAACTCCATGCTAAATAATTACATTACAAAATAGAATTATACTGGAAAAAACCCTTAAATCACTTATCACCACCTTAGGAGTATTGGACTACGAACTTTCAGTTAAAAGAGAAAAACTAAGAAAGTTATCAATAATGTTTTTGAACAGTATCTCGAGGAATATTACTAATAAATGAAAAATAAATAAAAAATGTCTTTGTAGCGGTAATCAGGGGTTTTAAGCTACCTAAAATTTACTTTAGTTCTACTTCCAAAAATTTTTTTTTAAGATTTCATATATTGTTTTATAAAAATATTCTTTAGTGTAGAGCAAAAAACCATTTGGCTCTTCCATTTTTTTTTTTTTACACCTATTATTACCAAGAGAAAAATCTAAAATCTTATTTATATAATTAACATGTTACCTTGATATTAAATAAATGAACTCGCAATGTTCGAATCAAAAATTAATTATGGAAATTTAAATAACATTGGACACATTATTTTTAAATAAAAAAATACTTATATTAATATAATATTTTAAATCTTTATCATTATCCATTTTTTTTTCTTAAATTGAAATTGGGTTTCACTATCATCAAATATCACACATTAATATTTTCAAATAAATAATAACAAAACTTTTAAAACAATTTATATTTTGTAAAAAAATTTTTAGTTCAATGCAAATAAAATTATATATTAACTAATTTTATAAAATTTTACGGGAAGAACAATTTTTTAATTGTATTAAGTAATTAAGAAAATAGCCCACAAATTGTTTTGTATAGAATTTTTTTAGATACTTAAATTTTTTTAATTTTAACAGAGTTATTAAATTTTTATTTTCATAACACCTAGATTAACTTTTTGGAATACTAAAGGTATTATAACACAAGATACCAATGTTTTAGTTACATCGGCATTTTTGTTAGTTACTAAAGTTTTATTCGACTATTTTTCTAATAATTGAAAAATTACTAGTATAAGAAAAAACGTCCGTTGTCTCTGTTTTTTTACTGTTGAGAAGAAAATATGACTAATTTAAATAATAAATAGTATAAACGATGACAGGCGCAGGATAGTGACAAATGATTTATGATGTGAGTTTGACTGTTTTATTGGATTTGATAGTACTACTTTACCAGTGTTATGCAATGTATGCAGAATACCACGTAATTCAAATTTGTGTACACTTGAAAAATCGCCTATACATAACACTCTATTGCTTTCCGTGTTCGATTTTGATATACCGATCCCGAGTGTCGTGTAGTAATGGAGTATGATCGGAAGTCAAAGAGTAAGTAAGTCGACAGGCCCACGGATATGACACGCACGTCGAGTCTGGATGTAGAGTACCGTGGCAAAACGACAATAACAGCGGGTTTTTGGGACGGCGGGTGTCAGACATATGGTTTTACGTGTATGAGTGTGCCGGTCGGTTGGCGGTGGTATGACGGTTGATAGTGCGTCTCGCCAACACCGCCGCCGCCGGAGCCATTTACCGGCGCGGGACGTGGCGGGTGGAAGGACGGATGGACGTAATGTAAAGGGGGGATGAGGTCGGAGGGTCGTCTAGCCGGTCGGTGCCGCGACGGCGTTCGGGTGAAAGACCCAGACGGTAGACGTAGGGAAACGGCTGGGCCGTTTTGTATATGTGTTATAGGAGAAGGTGATGATCGGAGGGATGGATAAACGGCGTGTCGTCGGATGAAAACCCGAATGGTGGGGTGGGGACAAGTAAGGAGGGAGGGATATGTTCCCCGTCTGAGTGTGGCAGTCGCTGGTGTTCGCCCGCCATTCGGTTGCCAACTTGTGTATGTGTGCGTGTGGCGGCCCGCCCTTCCGTCTGTCTGTCGTCCGATCGTCCGTTAGTTCGTAACGCCACCATGGCCGCCGATTTTTCGCACGATCGTTCGACAAGTATTCGACAACGGCCTTTGAGCACGCCGATTTAACTGTAGGAGGCCATTCGCGCGTGGCGGCCCACAACAGGCCTTTGTCGTCATACCGCGCCGGTGTATGCCATGCCGGCGGTGGTGGCACGCCGACACTTCGTCGAGCGACGAACATTCGCCGGCGGATCGCCGTCGCCGACGGCCGGCTTTTGACGTTCACCGACTTTTTTTTATCTCGACGGCCTTTGAAAATAAATTCAAATTTTTTTTAGACCGTGTACGGATAAATTTTTAAATATTAATTTTGCCAAAATTTTTAGTTATGAAACCAAAACGCGTGCAGTTTTCGCGAAATATTACGAATTTTTTTTTTATAAAATAAATTACGTTTGATATGAAGACTACTCGAAATCATCGGTACCAAATACCAGGTAATTATTTAAGTAATATTTATTATTTTCGTCGATCAAGAAAATAACGTTTACCCGTTGTTTGTGTTACATTTTTTCTGTAATATGTATTCAGTCACTTTGACTACACGTTTTTTTCTTAGCTAGTGATCGCTATTAATTTTAGGATTTATGATAATAGAATTTCATTTATGATTGATTATATAAAAAATATTACACACCAACCGACCGCGATCGTCGTTGTGGCCTAATCTATGCGAACTATTATCTATGCGAGGCGGCGGCAACGACGAGGTCAACGTACTTTCTGGAAATTGCGCATCGTTGATTGTCGAGTCTCATAATTTTTGCACGGTCTATTTTATGTATGGAAATAATCGGTGGATGTATGTTTTTAATTTTTTTAAAAATAACTCTTATCGTCCGTGTGTTTAACGAGAACATGGGCCGCCGAGTGTATTCGTCTAGAGCTACAAATGCTCGTCCCCATTAAATGTTGTCATCACAACATTGCAGGTAGATTTTTATTTTTAAAAGTACAATAATCGGCGTCGAAAATAGTTTATTCTCTGGAGGTAGCTAACGCATGAACCTCTTGTGTATGTATAATATTATTGTTATAATAATAATAATAATAATAATAATTGTTACCAGCGATCGTCTGGGTCTCTTATCTGTGTTATTCTCAATTAGCCAGACATTGGTTGGCTGGTGTATAAAGTTCTCTGGCATTTTACACGCCTCTGTATTAATGAATTATAAAATATTTGAGTAGAAAAAATCGCGATAACAACATAGTAGTATTTACAATGACACAAAAATAGTTTTGGTTGATTATAGTTGACACTGTAACCGATAATGACTAATAATAATGGTACATGTAAAACGTATCAACAACGATTGTTTTTTTGTAGTTTTAAATGGAGCTTTTAAAAAGTATCTACGAATAACGACGTTAATGTCCATTGGACTGTTTATTACTTATTTTTATTACTAAAAATAATGAGTAAAGTAGATCGTTAAATATTTTACACGACTCCAAGTTTGATGATTAGGTACGTTTTTAAACACAATCCAAGAACATTTTACATTTGTTCATAGAAGTAAATTTCCAATGCGATACATTCGATTTACGCCTAATTTGCGGGTATTTTGTCTTAACCGTTGAAAATATGAACATAAAATTATAATGTTGCAAAGCTTGTCTTTAAATAAAGTTCTCTGATCCTATTGTAATTACATTCTTAGATAATTAGTACGAGATGAGTTTTCAAAATAGACTAAAATGGAAAATCATATCATATATTTTGTTTTAAAGTAGCGTTGTGTGCTATAGAGACGTTCTCGATTGGAGTCATCAAAATAATAATTTTTCTAACAATCTCCCAAAGTTCAACGGTCTCTTGTCACTATCATATTCACAACTCGTCGAATAGTATTATCATTGTTTTACCTTGTACACGGTTCATGTTAAGAATGAGTGTACTCCAACACCGTTAGCAGACAGACAACTTTATCGGCATGTTTTATTATAATAGCATTTTGTTCACGCGCCGGTGTAATACAGGCGACTATTGTTAACCGTGTGTCTAGGAAACAAAAAAAACAAGTCTACTCTACATTAAAGCAAAACGAATGAATAAAATGTTAAAAAATTACACATGTGCAAAAATACGACAACAATAACAACTGGGGCTTCGAACTTTACCATATTTGTTTAAAATTGGATGCTTCAAAATAAATAAAATAAGTCATCGACCCAAGTATTTGTGTAGTATTTAAAAAATATCGAATACATTGTATTTTTGAAAAATATTATAATCATTCGACGTGACGAGAGACAAAGAGCATATTCAAATCAAACACAAAATATGATAATTTTTTTTTACTTGTAGCGAACAATCTTTTTTTTTTTCGATTGACTATCAATTTGTTCTCATACTTCCTACATAATTTATATATTTATTTAGTAAAATACAATTTTCGATATCGACAGCCCCTCGGGTATTCGATAACAGTTTTATGCGCATATTGTGGTTATAATGTTAATTTGAAATTTTGATGTGTTCAAAATATTATTGAGCATATATTTTATACATTCGTCTGGATTGATATTACGGCAATTACAACATAGTGTTCGCCGCAATTGAAGCTGTGTTAGATTTTTGACAAAACCGGTTTGCAAAAAATCCAAAAACTCTAATTTATCTTGCAAATGAGAACCGGATTTCGTCGACGGGGCGGCGACTTTCTTTTGCTGCGGCGAAAGTTAGACACAAATGTTACATGACGATATTAAATAATTTTTAAGGCTTATCCAGGTTTTATAAGCCCTTAAGGTTTGTTAAGCAATGTTTTACGATTCAGTCGTTTTTTTAACATTTCAAAATCAAAGAAAATGTTTGGCTTAATAATAGCATTTAAATAGTTTTTTCCTTAGTGTTTTCAGGTGCACTATTGTTCACTTTGTTCCCCTTCATAAATACTGTGTTTGTACGATTTTGGCAAAATTTCCAGTCACAGTTATGGTGTGTATATTCTAACCGCTAGTTTGTTACGCGAAGTTCTATGCGGTGTGGGAAAATGTAATAACCGTAAATAACAGTGAAGTATTGTGTTGTTAAGCGCGTGCAAAGTCTAGCCGAGATAAGAATAATTTCATACAAAGCAGTTGTAGGTTGGTAATTCATTTTCTGTGAATATTAGATGTTACCAGAGACCAGAAATAAAGCAACGTTGGAAGATAACAAAAATATCATTTTGAAAATATTGATCTGATTGAATTTGTTTTGGTTTTTATTTTACTCGGCTCAGATAATTACACATTGTTTCGATACTAATGACTATTATTTTGATTTTAACAACAATACGACTTACTCAAAACTGCCGGTCGTTCAACCCTCCCCTTGAAGTGATTATTGTCAAGTGATTGTACCCGGAGACCTTTGTGTCTCTACATTCAACACAACGATATTATGTGCGGGTGATTATATTGTAATTTATCGTTTCTTAAGTGATCACACATTGTTTGCCATCGACTTATCTCTATTATTGATACATTTTCCCCTCGGTTTTGAAAAAATATATCAATAATTATTATTGTGCACAATATTACTAGCCCTTTAGTTTAATAAAATGATCCCGTATCCAGAGCGCAACTTTGGATATAATCGGATTCTGCGGTAAATGACTTAGTAAACCATAAAAATAATGATACTTATAAAAATGTAGAATAGAATTTCAGTGATATTAAATCACATTTAGATGCTGCTATGTATTATAGAATGAAAGGTGTTGTAACAATTATATGACCGTTCATAAATAATTTAAATACTATAGTAACATTGAAAACGTTTTGTTGTGTTATGTGTGTAAAACTCAGACTTTTGTTATTATGAAAAAAAAAAAAAAATTATTTTCTTTGCGTCAGTTAAAAAAATGGCGGAATAGAAAAGAGGGACGGACCTATGCGACATTATGATGTACACGCACAAACCTACTTATAATGAAAATTGCTTAAATCATCTAATTATTGCATCCATTTCTAGCTACGAAATAAATTTAAGAGAGATTGTAATTATAAGCGTTTTAATGTTTTTATAAGGATAGAAGTGAAATTATGAAATTTAAGAGATTGTAAATTCTAAATATTTAATCTGATTATTGAACAATTAGACATACACTATAGTACCGAAGAAGGTATATTAATCTCAAAGATTAGGAAATCTCTATAATCTATATAATTATTATAAATAAGTAATAAACAAATTATTCGATTTTAATATCGAGTGACTTGGCAGATTAAATAATTTAAAACGATTAATTCGTTTTATATGATTAAGATTAAGTAAAAACTCTTCTTAAATATTACGTTGAGTGAAAGTATAATAATTGTGCAAAAATTAGTAATAAAATGTATATATAAAAAACAGTAATAACATATAAGGAATGAAAAATATGTAAAAATTTACTTTATTTTAAATTTAACTTTTATAAAATTTGAAATATTGACTTAGGGTAAGGGTTATTGTCATGTTGCAGTATTCTAGTGTAATTTATTTATTCGTGCGTCATAAGAAATATAAAAATCTGTAGTTAAATTGAATTTATGTGATAGCCTCTGTTAGTCACTTTATTAACGTATTCTAATTTCAGTTATCAACTGTTATTGAATACTGAGATACTCAATCACACTTAACGTTTAAATAATATGTTTTACAGTTGTAATTATTGGATATAAATTAGAGATGTTCCGGCTTTCAAGAAAAGCTGCATACAGGTATCCAGGTTATTTTTTACCCTATACTCGATCTGTGGGCATTTTTTTACTCGGCTCTTATCCGGCATTCGGTTTGTACATACATTTACTACCCGGAATATTTGTAACATAAATAGTTAGTGACATAATTAAAAGAGGAGGCTATTACTCAATTTATTAATTCTCAATATTTTTTTTTAATTTTAATTTATATATTTTGGGTAGGCTACAATGAATTTTAAGTAAAAGGTTAGTTTCCAAATTTTCTTTTTTTATTTCCATAATTGTTTTTATTTTGGATACTAAACAACAAAGTGTAATAGAAAAAAAAATATATTATGTGCACGGGTAATTAGATGAGACGCGACAAACTCGAACAGCGTGACTATGCGTCGGCGGCCGAAGCGCTACCGGTGTGTACAGAGCGCAACTAAAAACGGCCTCAATAATAATCGCGCACATGAGTTTGCGAACACCGCTGCCGCAGCCTGGTATTTGTTGAACGGCTGGTGGCGGCGGCAGATTTTTAGGTCCATGACCTCTCTCGAGTCGGGCGGCTTTGACGCGTTGGTAGACGTCACGCGGTCGGTTTGACGGGCGGGGCATACCGGTACGCTGGCGGGCGAGACTACCGCGTGTCGACGGGGGAGGAACGGTTGCCGGTGTCTCGTCGTAGACAGCACGACCTTGGCGTCCGCCGCCGCATGTCTGACTCGTTCTGCGGTCTGTCCACTTATTAGTTCCAGTGTATTCGCCGTACCCGTAAATTCGCACTTTTTTATGTACTTACATCTGTTTTTTTTGCGTAGTGAATTCCTCAGTATACATGATATTTTTTAAAATTTATCTTGTATTCATCAAAAAAAAGTTTTTTAATTTAATCATTTTTGCAAATGAGTTTAACTGTATATTCTTTAATATTTGTTTTTCTACAATGTACGTGTGTTTAAAACCTTAAAATTCGTGTAAAACAATAATATAATATTAACAATGTTTCAAAAAAAAAAAAAAAATACAAATTATTTTTTTAAATAATGTGCGAGTGCTGCTTAAAATTTTGTTTTAATTAAACATTTCGGACTCTACAACTAGATTAAACTATCTATTTAGCATATAAATAAATTATTTTACGGTAAACATGTTTAATACGAATATTTTAGAGACGAGTTTTGGTTGTTGTGATCTATTAATTTGAACTATTTAACTGTCAAGTTTCTTTATAGTTCGGCCTCGCATCTTAGGTCCAAGTCAACAGGAAACTTGACACAACACCTCTGTATGTATGTATTTATATGTTTCATTTAGGTTTCCCATGTATACACAGTTTGCACAGTTTGTCGTTGTAACCAGTGACGATTGTGTGCACAAATGTACGCGCTATAACCGTTTGACAAGTATTATGAAGTCGCGTACCTTCAATTATATTTTACTCAAGCAGAGTAACATCGACTTAGTTAGTACTTCTTTACCAACCTAACCTAACCTAACCTAACCTCGCGGATTGTCAGAATATAGAGGAGAGGTCGTTGAACTCATTTTCGTGAATCTATACTGTCACCATTTGTTAGTGTTAAGAATTTTCATGTTGCCTACGATCATTATAATTATTGTAAAAACAAAAAAAATGTCGAATTTCATGGCAAATTGTAAATTGATCAATTAATATTATTCAACAGTGTCATGAAGTTGCCCTCAAGTTTTAAAAAGGTCCTGACTCGGTTAGTTTCATTTCTCAATTTAGTCATTATGCGAAAAGATATTTAAAATATTTTATGGTCCAACCGATTTGTAGATGCAGCTGTAAAGACAACAACGGCAAAACCTTCAAGATAATTCCAGTGATTGTAAGTAAATCAATTTTACTATGATAAATTTCTATGTTTTTTTTTAAGATTTGGGTGACCCATTTTCTTTTATATTATTTAAAAAAAATTGTGTATGTTTAACAAAAGAAAAAATGTATCGTTACTATTCTTAAGATAATTTAATTATTGGATTCATATTTCCTCGTCTGACACAAGTGTTTTTTTGTTATTTTAATACTTGAGATAAAATAAGAATAAAAACAATTTTTTATTGTTTCTGTTTCATTAAAATTTTGTTTCACCAACTCGTGAATTTTTAAACTGTATCCACCGGTCATTATTTTCTTCGGGGTAACTAAATATATAATATTGTCCACTTTCTAAAAATTAGCAATCTACATCATGGCTAGAATTCAAAGACTATATTCGCTTTTTTAGCCCAGTTTATTTGTAGGACGCTTTTCGCTTTCGGAACCACTGGCATATTAAATTTTGTACATTACGCTGACATTGTTTCCCCTTCTCTTCCGTTCACTTTTTATTATAAGCTGTATTACTGACAGGATTTATAGTACAGACAGCTGCTGCTAACAACGGCCTGGCAAATTTCATCGATCACGCTACTGATAAGCGTGTATATTTATCTTTTATTTTATTTCGCTTTTTGCGCGCTTACTGATGGATGTTTTTTTGTTGCTTAGCGTCATTAAAATATGATTTTGTTTAATTTTTTTGCGTGACTACAGAACCGGACTTACAACGTGTAGGATGAACGTTGGTTGTTCTTTAATGCTGTTTTATAGGTAGGGTAGGTCTCGATTTTAGCGAGTGGTTATGGTGGATGTAATATATTATAATAATTATGTTCAAAAGACTGGTGCAGATGAGTGACATGACATGGTTTTGGCCAACCGCACATGAACCGCCTGTTTCTTTTAATAAAATTTTTATTTTTGGTTATTAATGACGTTCGAATTTTCTCATATTCCATTGCTGACTAATCAATTTACTCAATGACCGAACAACATAGACTACATTATAATTTGAATTCATGCGGTTTGAATTTGCGCCAGATGAAACCGGAAATTATCTTTTCCAATAACTCATAAACGACCGACCAGTACCACTGAAATTATCAACACTTTAGTTTTTCAGTGATCGATGGCTTATGTAAAAGATGTCCACAGAAGATGTCATATATTTATTTATTTAAATTATGAGTTCAACTTTTTATATTAATTTAGATAAATTTGTCATTGAAGAAACTCGTGTTTGCTTAATAAGTCTGGTATGCTTTCCCCTTTGTTTTTACTTATATTAACGTACAAATGAACTCCTACGTTTGCCGCCTTCTGAAGTTTGCAATAGAAATCTTGAACATGTTAGTGAACAAATAAATGTGTTCCCTAAACATCCATCGATGCTGTGCACCCACTTAGAGTAAGTAAATAAGTTGGGTTGTATATAACTATGTTGCATGTCAGTACAAAGAATCTCTCCCGATAAATCAACGAGTGTTCAACTAAACTTGTACCCAAATCGTTGTACATAAGCATATAACCGAGAGCAATTTTTTATTGATAATTGACGGAATTAATAAATTAATTTTTTTTCTGACCTTTAATGGTTAAGAGTCAAGCTCTACTTTTGTTAATCTTGTTTTATTTCTCGCATATTTTTCACGCACATTTAGAAACTCAATATTTTGAGTTTGTTACCTTCATTATTTTAATACTTTTTTTCATTAAAATATAACCGTATGGCCTTATTTTATTTCATGGCATCTTGACAACTACTAACACTCCTACGTTACCTCTTTTGTAGTCACCCACATAATTAGTGTCTCGGAAAAATGAAATTCTACAAAAATTTCAAGTTTTTTTTTTTTATAATAGGGTGTGAGGAGCCAAGTGTAAATTTTACTCTGCTGACAATGATAATTAAGGAAATTATTCTACCTGGTCGACGGTGCTTATTCAAACATGTCTAGCAATATGACGTAGATAATATCGAGTTACACCAGTTATGAAGCAGGGTTGATAATTTGTGTGATTATTTGTCGAGATTGCGACTGCTCGAGGGAAATGTCTTGTGTTTCGACGGCCTTGAGCTGTCGACTAGACAGTTCAGATTATTCATATAAACATATTAAACAATGTATTGCCATAAGACATCCATTATTACACAGTCGTATTTTTGATGCTCATCAAGACTTGGCAAATAAAAAAAAAAAAAAACACTCAGTTTTTGTGTCGATGAGTCGTTGAACATTGAGGAACCGTCTGGTGTATAGTAAGACAATAATGAACATTATATGCACGTTGAACTACACGCATATTCAAATGAATTACTACTATGGGCGAATTTTTTTTTTTTTTTTCACAACGAGGTACTAGACGTTATTATTATTATAAAATGTGTAGGTACCTATATAATAATGATTTTTCGTCATGATATTATATTGTACTGTAACTGCAAGACGCGACGAACGAAATGGGGTTACATAAATCCTAGACGGACGAATAATAATAATAATAATAATAATAATAATAATGATGATAATGACCTCCAGACGGGTAGGCGGCTTTACCTCTATGGTTGTAAGCGTACAGACTATGAAAAAATTCATATGTTTGTTGTACAAATACACGTAGTTTGGCTATGGCGATTGACGACACGATAAACTTTGGGATATAATTTGCATAAATTTCATCTTTTTCCATCGGAACACTTAATGCTCAAATAAAGTAAGTCGGTTGACCGTTTGGGCAAGTCAGTCAGTATACGGTACTGAACGTTTTATTCAGACCGTTCGTGTGTAGAGTAGTAATTGCACATTTGAATTACCATACAACGATTCAGGGGAATTGTGATTATAATTATTTTTTTTTTAGATATGGAAAAAATAAGTATTATTTACAAAACCTTGGTATAGGTTACTATCAAAATAATTTTTGCTTTTTAGTTTCCTTTGGTTGTAATCAGATAATTCGTTTAGTAGAAAAACTAATTTTTAACATTCATAAAAGAAACAAGCAAAATATTTTAGGCAATTTTTTTTCGAGCAATTGTAATTAAATTCCGTTTTTACACGGTTGACCTATATTTTACTGAGTCGGTAAACGATAAAAAATTACGCGCTTGTGCGATTAGTTTTAAAAACACAAAAGGTTAAAAAATAATTCACTAATAGAAGTTTAGATTGTTAATCGGTAACCGTCTCCGTAAATCTATTTATTAAAAATTTATTTTAAAGCTTTTTTTACATGATAAGTTATTTTTAGCTAAGTAATTAAGTGGACATTATTTATTTATTACATAATGTTACCATACATTTTTTTATCAAGTAGTCTGTTTAAAACTGATAAAAAGTATGCATGTTTGCTATCAAGAATATTAGTCCTATACTGTTGTTAGTACACATGCATTTTTTTAATGATAATTATTAACTAGTGAGTGTTTGAAATTTTTATCTTTCATACGATTTTTTTTATTATATAATTAAAACATCTAGTTATGATAGAAAAAAAATGAGTATAATTTATACTGGCACGCGTACATCAGTAAGATTTAAAGAGTAAAGACGCGGTCTTTATTAAATTTTAATGTTTTGGTTGAAAATAGAAGAAATTTCCAAGGGTGACAAATTTTTTTTGCACAAATCGATTGGCGCCGGTCTTAGAAGTGTTTTGTTGGCTAAATGTTGTTTGCACTAAATCACAATATTATGTGGCAGATATGAGCAAGGAGAATATATAGGCAATTTAAATTCGCATTGGGTGCGAAAAAAATGAGACTGGTAAATTTACAGCTGTAAAAAACGGCGAATCAGATGTTGGGTCTTTGAAAAGAACGTCCGAAGTGTCCATTTCGTGCAATTTAACGATTTCTCTGATAATTGCCACGCGTGAAAGATTATTATTATAATTTTAATAAATAGGTCTTAGAATTATTATTAGGCGGCCACTGGTAGTTCGGTTAAGGTATTTGTGTAATATTTTAATAGTAATTTTGTAGTCATATTTTTAGATAGTTAAAATTAGATGTTATTGTTTCAAGCCAAACAATTATTGCGTTTTAAAGATAGATAACAAAATAAAAAATGTATATTTATGGATACAATTCGAACTAGATCCGAAAATCAGCAGCTCGAACTTTACTTCTCATTACTAACGTCGATCCAAAATCTCATAATCGAAATCGGCATATGAAATAACCAATAAATAATTACATTATTTATATTTATTTTATGTATTCGGCGGTAGACATTTGTTATCAAGAGCAAAAATATTCTCAACAACGTGCAAAAACCGCAAACAGCTGTGCGTCTGTGCATTGCGTTAAGTTCGACGACCTCTTCGCGATGATAATATTCGCTCGGGTTGGAGGCGGCGTGTGGAGAAATCTATATGTATATATGTGTGTATATATATATATGTATATATATACACCTATATATGTGAGTGTGTGTGTCTGTGTTTGTGTAGTGTTTACGAGCTATTAATATTATTAACCTCATCGTGGTCGGATTTCACTGGGCGAAAACCACCGAGACGATATTCAAACGTGATCGTCACTCAATATTTCTAATCTTAATACCTGTTTGTAAATTGATTTAAAATTCACGTTGCATTTATTTCCCATGAAAATTTACTTTTTATCAGATGGCCGGTTCGGCCTTGTCATCCTCTGTAATTGACTAATGACTGCCACTTAGTCCAAGTCTGGGAGCTGAAATCAATTTTACAGCGAACACGACTGCCGTAACAATGTTGCCAATTACCTTCCTTGAACATTGTTAATAAATACGACAATAGCGCTTTCGACTTTATTTTTCCTTTTTATCACTTCTTATTCTTATTTATTTATCAGACCGAGGTGTTTTAGGTGTAGGCCGAACTGGAGAAGAAATTTTAATCATTGATTATTTACCGAATTTAATTTGAATGATACAAAATTAAATTTAACAGTCGCCATGTGTTATTTTTATAGACAATAAATTGTAGTCCAACTAAAATGTTGAATATTAAAAACTAGAAAACATAGAAGAGGATATTGTAAACAGTTTCGAATAGTTCATTGAAATTTAAAATATTCAATAGGTTAAGTTGAAGAAAAATATTTTTTTGTGAGCATACATTAATGTGAAAAATTATGTTATTTTTTTCGGTGGCCAGTTGACCAACTGGTGACATGTTATTGTAACCTTTTTGTGAAAGGAAAACATTTTTAATCGTTAAATTGAACACCCATATCACTCATTACACTTATTGACATATTTTGCCTCGGGCCAAAATATGATATCAAAATATATTATCCGCGGTTGAATTATAGAAAATCGTTCCGTTAGTTTTCAGTTATTTAGGAACTTCTTGTTATCGCATAAAAAGAGATTAATCAAAATGATGTTAAAAATAACCATCAAATTACATGTAGTATGTTCTTAGACTAACATGGAATATACTGTGCGTTAGTTAATATCTTAGACATTTATTTAATACACTGTGCACATATAAGCTCATCGCACAGCATTTCTAGTAACTTAATTTTTGTGAAACTCGGTTTACATAAACCTCATGTTTCTTAATTTAGAGCAACACTTTGTAAAATGTTCGCAAATAATGTTTATTTATAACTCAACCATGTGTTTGTATGTGTTCGATCGGTCAAATGAATTATTAATGGAGACTTCGGTAATGAACAGTAAATGTCAATGAACGCGCCTACAGTTGGTTATTTAGTAAATATGTGATTTGATTGATTATAACAATTCACTAACAAACTGTGTACGTTTTTAGGGTTCAGGTTAGGGCTGCGTTATTGTAATTCTCAAATTCAATTATATATAAATAATTCTCATCTAATATATACATAAAAGTGCGGAAAACCTTTCCCGTATTTTGTTATTAACCAAGTTTAGTTATTTACTTTAACCATTTTGTTATTTTTGGTGCGCTGTCTGTTATATCTTTTATACTTAAAATATATAACAGTGTCGATCATTATTTATTGTACAACATAAAATATCTTTCATTTGGAAATCGCATTTCCTCAGCGCAGCTCAATTTTGTGCGATTAAACGTGAGGTATTATTTTAGTCGTTAAACGATAAACGCCAAGGACTTTGGCTTTCATTCAATCCATATCTATAATTATTTCACCCAAAAGAAATAATTATAATACGTTATTTAAATAACGTAGAAGAATTTAAGAAAAATATCTGTGGTGTTTAAATCGCAAAAACTCGTACTTTTATTACTTAATTATAAATTATTATTAAAATAATTTTTTAAAACTTTTTATATAAATATAAACTTTTTGAAATAATGTTCTTACTTTCGAGTGTAAACTGCGCGTTAAAAAATTTTAATTAATGACCCACCAAGAATTCAGTTTGTAAAACGACAAGTTTTTGAAAACGTTCGGTAAATTAGAGTATAATTCTCTAATTGTCCTTGGTCTAATATCTCATTTTCACGTGTCTAGGAAATAAATAGTAATTATTTATGTTTGTGCATATCATCCAACTCTGGAATTGTGGTTATATGCGAGTCACGTGGGCGTTTATCTTATAAACCAGTAATTAACAGGATTGATAAACATATTTCATATTCACAAAACTCCCCGTCCGTGACAACTTGTTACGGCTAATGAATACGACAGAAGTAGTCCTGCGTTGGGTTATCTATTAGATCTCTTACTCTATTCGCCAACATGTAGGCCTATGAGTTTTTAATTATATGCACGTGTATTTTATTCGTAACAATATATAAAATTTAGCAAACAGAATAATTAAAATCAAAATGTATCACCATTTAGCATTATATTACAATATTGGTTTGTTTATTTTAGAGCAATAGTAATTATGTATTAGAATTAAGCTATTTTATGCATTGCTTTTATTTTCTAGCAAAATATTTTAGCTCGCTAAAAAAATTACGAAGATTTTATTCATAAGGCTTTTTTTATCCAGCCGTAATCATTGAAAACATTTTAAAATTCAATTGTTTTCATTTCCTTAATGGTGGTCAATTATATAAAAGTTATTACGAGTAAAAAAATAATAATAATTTTGCATTGTGTTAATATGAGTCTATTAATGTTTGTGTCAACATTAAATGTTCGTGTAAATCATACGAAATAGCGCACACGCACAAAACCTAAAAAAAAAAAACAGCAGATAGTTTTGGACAGCTGTTGATAATCCGGGGTCTATGATCTCTAGCTTGAAAATATATTTTTTACCATTTTTTTTTTTTTTTTTTTTTTTT